AAAAAATCATAGAAAAGTAAAGACCACACCGGAAAAGCAAAATAAAGGTAGTAGGTCAATCATTTATATATCAAGTGTGAAGGGTAAAAGACAAAAGTAATAAAATTAATTGAAAAATATAACAATTAGTTAAGGGATACATAAAAGAATATGTAAAATGTGTCATAAAAATATAAAATGGTAGGGGGTAAAAATGTAAAGAGTTGGAATGTGCTTAAATTTGAGTTACTATCAACTTAAAAGATCCTGTTATATACATAAGATGTTATATGTAAACCTCACAGTAACCATGAAGAAAAAAACTTATAGTAAATACACAAAACAAGAAAAGTATCTAAACACAAGTTAAAGAAAGCCATCAAGCCACAAAGAGAGATAAAGAGAAGATGGAAGGAACTGAGAGGAACTCCCAAAATGGCTAGAAAACAATTACAAAATGGCAATGAGCATATGCCTATCAATAATTACTTTAACTGTAAATGTACTAAATTCTCCAATCAGAAGATAAAGGGTGGATGAATGGATAAAAAAACAAGACCTATCTACATGCTGCTGAGAGAGACTTACCTCAAAACCAAAAACACACACAGACTGAAAGTGGAGAAATGGAAAAAGATATTCCTTGCTAATGGAAATGAAAAGGAAGCTGGGGTAGCAATAGTTATATCAGACAAAATAGACTTTAAAACAAAGAATGTAACAAAGACAAAAACGAGCATTATATAATGAATGGTAAAGGAGTTGATCCAATAAGAAGATATAACATCTGTAAATATTTATGTACCAACATAGAAACATCTAAATATATAAAGCAAATATTAACAGAAATAAAAGGAGAAATTGACAACAACACAATAATAGTAGGGAACTTTAATATCTCACTTATGTCAATAGATAGATTTTCCAGGCAGATAATCATTAACAGAAAATCATGAAACATTGGCCTTAAAGAACACAGTAGAGCAGGTGAATTTAATTGACATATACAGACCATTCCATCCAAAAGCCACAGAATACACACTCTTCAAGTACACATGGAACATTCTTCAGGATAGATCACATTGGGCCACAAATAAGTCTCAATAAATTTAAGAAGATGAAATCATATCAAGCATCTTTTCCAACCATAACAAATGGTTGTGAAATTAGAAATCAATTACAAGAAGGAAACTAGAAGAAACACAAACATGTGGAAACTAAACCACATGCTATTAAACAACCAATGGTTCAATGAAGAAATCAGAGAAAATTTAAAAAGTACCTTGAGACAAATAAAAGTGTAAATATAATTTTCCAAAATCTTTGGGATGCAGCAAAAGCAGTTCTAAGAGGGTAGGTAATAGTGATACAGGTTTATTTCAAGAAACAAGAGAAATCTCAGTTTAAAGTTACATCTAAAGGAACTAGAAAAAGAAGAACAAACAAAGCCCAAAGTCAGTAGAAAGAAGGAAATTGTAAAGATCAGAGCAGAAGTAAATGAAATAGAGACTAAAAAAATAAGAAAAAATCAATAAAACTAGGAGCCGATTCTTTGAAAAAACATTTTATAAACCCTTAGACAGTCTCATCAAGAAAAACGAGAAAGGGCCCAAATAAATAATTCAGAAATGAAAGAGGAGAAATTACAACTGGCACAGAAATAGAACGGATCATAAGAGAATATTATCAACAATTATATGACAACAAATTGGACAAATAGATAAATTCCTAGATACATATAATCTTCTAAGACTGAATCATGAAGAAATAGTAAATCTGAATAGACCAATTACCAGTAATAAAATCGAATCAGTAATCAAAACCTCTCAACAAACAAAAGTTCAGGTCCACATGGCTTTACATGTGAATTCTACCAAACATTTAAAGAAGAGTTAAGACCTAGCCTTCTCAAATTATTCCCAAATATTGAAGAGAAACGAAATTTTCCAAACTCATTTTAAGAGGCCAGCATTACCCTGATACCAAAACCAAACAAAGACACTACTAAATAAATAAATAAATAAATATATTAACTAATTAAATTACAGGCCAATATCTTTGATGAACATAGATGCAAAAATCCTCACAAAATATTAGCAAATCTAATTCAAAAATACATGAAAAGTATCATTTGCCATGATCAAGTAGGATTTATTCCAGGGATGTAAGGATGGTTTAACATCTTCAAATCAATCAATGTGATACATCGTGTTAACAAAATGAAGGATAAAAATTTATGATTATTTTAATAGATGCAGAAAAAGCGTTTGACAAAATTCAACATCCATTAGTGATAAAACTCTCAACAAAGTGTGTACTGAGGAAACACACCTCAACATAGTAAAGGCTATATATGATAAACCCACAGCTTTAATCATACTCAGTGGTGAAAAGCTGAAGTCTTTTTCCCCTAAGATCAAGAATAAGA